GCTGCGAGCCCCCTTTGCCCGCAGCGACTGCTCGGGGGCCAAGTTGGATCGGCAGAAAGGCGAGACATTTTCGACTGGAGCTGGATGGTCCTGGTGCTTTGCTGCGCTGGGTGTGGACCGACCGACCAACCAACTACCTAACCAACCACTCATTGTAGTGATCTGATGCGCTGGCTCTGGCACTGGCACCGGCAAGTCGTCGAAAAGAAGATCGAGGTCTTCCAAGTGCCCGCTGGCTAACCCAAAAGGTGTTTTCATCGAGTAAGCCGAGCGCCAGACGCATCACGAAGCACCTGGATGGTGAACCTTGAGGAGTCCGTGAGCCGTCAGCGTCCGCGGTCACGGCAGCAACCTTTCTTGCCTCCCTTGACTTTTGCACCGGCCCCCCTTCCGTTCCTTGGATCAGAACGCAGGAGACTCTCGGCTGAGAGAAGGACAGAGCAAGGGAAAAGAGCAGCATCTGTCGTTAAGAAAGTGGGGATTCTGACGCTTGAGAAATTTGGAGAAGTGTAAATGGAGCCTTGGCAGTGGTGGTGGCACCGAGACCCGATCTAGGCCCTCTGCCAAGGTGGAGGGGCAAGAAGGGAACGGGCTTGCATCTCGTGTTGAAAATAATTAAGCGCTGCGGTGAATTGAGATGGCAGAGGCGGCAAGGGAAATGGCGCGCGCACGGCCAATCACCAGAGTCCCAGCCCCCGATTCATGGCCAGGGCTACCTTATTGTGTCCCACAATGCCATTGAAACTCCATGCCGTAAAAGAAGCTTGTGCGCCATTCGCATCGCATGGCATTGCATCTCCGAATGGCTGGCGCATATCTCGGCCAATCAATCAGTACAGGGTCCTTGTTGAGCGCAAGTTCTGGTCAGCCAAAGAGTTGGTATGTCTGATTTTGCAGTGTCCCAGTGGCCTAGTCAGCCGCCGACGCCGTTCCGAAGCTCGTGGCAAACGGACAAGCGGGCGGACAGAGGCGGAAGGATAAAAAAGAAGGATCCGGCATGCAGCAGGCCACGCCAAAGTCGGTAGCAAGGCGTCTAACGGCTCGCCATTTGTATGCGTCTCTGAGTCTGCCGAGTGCGGCCAGGCATGTACTCCATCGGAATGTCTATCAGTTAGTTAGCAAGGCGCGCTCTGAGTTTCTGCAGAGGTTGTCTATGAAGGAATAAGTGTTAGTTGCCGCATAGAGGCGAAAACAGCGATGGAGGTTGGTGTCTGTGAGTGGGGTTTGTGTTGATACTGATGCCATTGCTAATATCAGTGCTTCGTAACCTATGGATGGGATTGTTATTATGTGCCCGGTCAGTTGCATTGCGATGGCATTGGACAATGGATGTTGCAAGTCGCTGTCCCCGGCGCAGTCCAGCTCGTGCGGATGGTTCTCCGGACATGTTCCGCCAAGGGGACGGAAGGGAGGGAGGGCGGCGGACGTGGTGTGCTGTGACCAAGAGTCCAAGACGGCTGAGGTGGAGAAAATCACTGGGGGTCCCGACGGGTCGGAAGGATCAGGAGCATAAAACTCGATGCTGGGGGCCTTGTACCTGAGGTACTACTTTGAGAAGTTGAGGTGCAAGGTAAGGTAAGCAATCAGGTGGTATCCGTACGGAGTATCCATAGTTGATTACCTTCTTCTTTGCCCAAGGCACTTCCGATGTTGCCCAAGACATTCTGATTCAGAATTTTGCAGAAAATTTCCGGTCGGTGCAGGAAAGCAGAGACATCAGCAGCTGCCCTGTGTGGTCCCTGAGAACAGGTACTTGATGTATTGTGCCTACAGGCAGGTTCGAACTCCCGTCATTTGGAGAAGGGCGGAGAACAGATCCAGCGAGCGGCGGGCTCTTTCCTGGAGCCTTCCCTGTACGAATAAATACATGGAGAGGGCGGCGAAGACCCCGCCCTCGCTGCCGTCCGTCCCTCTGTTCTCATCGGGCGGGAGGTAAACGGGAAGGCGTTCCCTCCTCTTCGGTGCCTGCCCTGCCTGCCACGCCTGCCCCGTGCCTGCAAAACTAAAATTTGATGTTGATAATGAATTGACACATGGCACTCACCTCATGGCTGCATCTGTGCCCTGGCGGTGCGATCTCTTCTCTAACGGACCATGACCTCACCGCTTCCGAACCCAGGGCACACTCGGGCTTCAGCCTTTACGAAAACGACGCTCCAAGGAATGCAATCTCGCACCAATTTGTGTGTTGGATCTGGGACAAGTGCCGTTCGCTGACGATTGCTGAAGACAGTGGTGGGGCACATTCCCTCCTAGTTCACCAGTGTCAGTAGTACTTATCTGTCGCCGTAGGTACGGAGTACGTGCCTGTGAAATTTCCCTGCGGACCTGATGTGAGACTCACGCTGCCAATGCCAGAGCAACACCGGTGACATTTGGAAATGTACCGAGGTACGGATCATGGACGCAGGAATGTAAATGATGACCCTTTGCTGTCCCTGAAACGAGCACCTCGAGATACAACCCAATCCCAAGGTGAGGGAGGCATCATGAAGATTCAGCAACAATTATCGAGCACCTGTGAACGGCGAGATAGACCACCAAAAGGTGAGATAAACATAGGAGAGCGCGGTGCTCGATCAGTCCAAGCAATCAGAGATAAGAATGGTGTAAGCTGCCAACATCAAACCGGACCAGCAACAAGTAGTGCGAACGGTCGTCGCATCTGCCACCTCTCCTACTCTCCTGTCGTCACACAGACTCGATAAACTCTCCCCAGCTCTTTGTCTTGCTCAGGCTTGTCAGGGTATCCTGCCTAGCAGCAGCCGAGAGCTCACGACACATGCAATACACGGTCGTTCATGCACTAGGCCCATAGATGGCAGCTTTCTCAGCTCCCAATCTCGCATCGCCAACGGGTAGGCCACTTGGCTGCCCTTGCTTTTTCTTCTATTCTTTCTTTTCCTTCCATCAATGTTCCACGTTCCACCTTCTACACGACGATGGCGTTTTAAAATGCGTTGGCGTGTTCATGTCTTGATCTTTCCTCTGTCAACCCTCTCAATGCAGATAATGTGCGTACAATGCAATCACAGCCGGCACAGACTGCCTGGAAAGCTACGCAATGTGGCAGAACTGCGTCGCTATCAACATTCAACCAACCACCTTGGTGGAGAAAGACTGACGTGCAGGTTGATGCCTGCCGCCTTGAAAATAGCAGGGCCCCACGAAATGTCCGAACAAGTACCTACCTAACAAGACCGTGACCGTGAGCACTCAGGTCGCTTGCCCTGGCAGTATTGACCCGAGCCGACGGCTCAAGAAACGGGAGGCGGCAGGGAACAGCGCTAGAAACGCCCACTGCTACTGTCTACTGTACGACCACAGTAGTACTGCGTAAATGCAGAGTGCTCCGTACGTTGCGAGGGCGTGACGAGAGACAAAAGAATGAGCAGGGGAATATTAGAGTCGTTTCGAGGAACAAAGAAGATACTGAGGTTCCTGGAGGCTGAAAGAGGAGGCGTGTTCCGGGCTCATGGAAAAGAGAGTGCCAAAAGACGGTGAAGGGGTCGGGTGGTGGTGTTGGAGTGAGCGGGAGCTAGCCGCACCTAGAGGTACCTTGGATACCTACCTTGTGGGCTGGTCTGACAGAGCAAAGGTACGGAACTACTGTGCAGTATGTAATTACCCACGAAGACCGCGACCTTCGACCCTCAGGAGATGGACATGCGATTTGTCAGGGTCTCTCTTCCCCCAAGTACAAGCAAGGCCGAATGCGGCCGAGTGGCGGGTGTTAGATGGCAGGTACAGCGGCGCGGCGTGACCGGTACCTGATGTGCTGTCTAGACTTTGCCTGCCCCATGCGGAACGAACCCTGGGTGTTTCGGTCTGTACGTAGGTACTTCGAGGCTCAAGAGACTCGACGGACTCGGTTCATTGCGAGGGATGATGCAGTTCGAGAAAGCATGACTGAGTTTGGTAAAATCAAGCTGAATCTGTATTCCTGTGATGTTGAATTCGAACTCGGGAAAGGGCTTGGCCGGATGGTTGTGAATATGCATGCAGCAGGATGTCATTTGACTGTCCGGTGTCGCTCCCCTATCAACGGCGTAGAGAGATTTTGCCTCACGATGTTCCAAACAATCCGTCCATGGGAGCTCGTCGAGCTGGCGGTCGCGTCAAAATATTAACCCGGTCGGACTCTGTCCGGCCGAGGGAGCATCGCAACATCAATTGCGCTGATATAAGCTGCATGATACCATGCCCCGTCGAGGAGTATCCGTACAGTTTAGAGGAATAAGGTAGAAGGGCGTCGGGGAACGGAAGGACATGATCGGTTCACTGCTGGCCATGTTCACGCAAGGTAAGGTACGGTAGGTTGCTGTTAAATCTCGCCGCGTTTGCCCATGAAAAATCGGACACCCATGACTTGACTACAGGCATAGAAGGATGAGGTTCTCTACCGCGGGCACCGCACCTTCCCTTACCTTACCTACCTAACTTACCTACCTTAGCTTATTGCCATACTTTACCTTAGCGATCCCATATGATGATTCCCTGCCCTCTGCCTGCCCCCTTCCTGTCCGTGGGCTCCATCACCACAGTTGCTGCTCATTTTACCGCCAATCATGGAACCCAGGTAACGTGGCCAAGGTACCTTGCTTGACATATCGCCTCAAGGGCCTAAGGCTCAGTGCAATCGGGTGTGCTGTTGGGTCTTTGCCCAGCCCCGTCTACCTTACCAGCTTCGCTGTACATTCAACGATCAAGCAAGGAGTCGCATAGAGGCCGGTAGGGCAAGGTATATGGTGCGTTAGCAGGTAAGTGTTCCAAGCTCCCGACTAATTTGTTTTGCCAAATCAATACGTACCTAGGTAGTAGGAGGCCCTGCCATCTATGATCTATCTGCCTGCCTCCTGGATACACCTTAGAATCTTAGGTATTCTTTTGCCGTGTGCTCCGCTGTTCCAGGGAGTGTGCTTATTGCCCATGTGTGAGACGGGGAAGCGCCCTGTGTAGCTCTCCATCGTCTAAGGGCGTCGCTGGCTGAGGTGCTGTTGTTAGGTGCCCGGTTGTGTGATGAGGTGCGTCCCAGTCATGTTGGGCCCTGCTGGCTGGCGCTGGCTGGGCTGCCTGACCGGGCTGGACTGGGCCAACACTGCACAAATCTCGCGTACGTGCGGACCTGATGCATCCATCCTCATCGTCTGCTTCTCCTCTTCCCTCTGCCCCTTCTTCCTCTCCTCCTCTTTTTTTTCCCTTACTCCTACTCTTGTTCTACCCAGCCTCCCCTCGTCGTCGCTTGTCCCGCTCTTCATCGTCACCTTCTCGCGTTGAGCGTCAAGCGTCATCGCACGCATTGTCTCGCTGCTATCGCTGCGTGCCAGACCTCGCTTCCACTTTGCGTGCATCCGTCTTGTCTCTCGGCCTAGGCTTTTGGTTCCTGCTCCTTTTGGCTTTGGCTGACGCTGCCACTGCCATTTCACAGCACATCCGAGTCACGCTTCCGGGTGTCGGTCCTGAAACACAACCAAACCAATCCATCACCCTTTACCCTCCACCGTCTTTTCGCCGCTACATCGCACCCTCTTCCTTACTCCTGCGACTCTTCTTCCTACAACAAACTACTACCATCCCTTCCTGCCTCCTTTGGTTCCATTAAACCACACGATTGCCCTCGGAAAGACCGCGACCAAGGAAAAACAACAAGCCTTGCAACGCTTCCCATCGTACCTCCGACCCTCGCACCACACGAGACTACTACCGATACCATCGAATCGAGACGAGTCCGCTCACGCACGATCCGGTCCAATCCAACTCAATTCTCACACACACCCACACAACAATATCGCCACCCTCGAGCGACCCCAACCCCAAACCTCGATTTCTTTCTCCTCATTTTGCTCTTCACTCGGCACACCTCGAGATCCATCATCTGCCCATCGACCTGTTGAGCGAGCACGAATCAACATACTCCTTCTTTCAAACCTGTCAAAGGGGCCACCCAAGCTGGAAGGGATTTGTCACATTCGTACCTTTCCACGGCTGCACTGCCTGGCCCCATTCGACTTGAATAACCCTTGAATCCATCTCGTCGTCTTACTCGTCATTCAAGATGAGAGAAGTCAATTTCAGTATCCCAAACGTCAACAAGGCGTCGGTCGGCATAACGACCGCCCTCTATGACAGACGAGCTCTCGACTGCACGTCTACCCTTCCTCTCATCAACTCTCTCAACCATCTCGCCTACCTCACCACATCCTCGGCTCGCATCCGCGATATTCTTACCGTCGACGGCGGCATCGAGCGCTTGGTATGCATTCTAAAACGCGGTCGGAGCAAGGACATGATGGACATGTGGAAGTGGAACTTGGCTTTCCAGTGCGTCGTCAACATTGGTGTCAGAGGCACCGAAAACGTCCGCACCAGGGTTGTCGAGGCCGACATGGTCCCCGTCATTGCTACCATTCTCGACAACTACATTAAAGTCACTGAGAAGTGCAGAGACAAGTCGGACGATAAGAGCAAGGACCATCATCACCGCCACAGGAGCCACGAACACCGCAGTGTACACAAGGCTCCATCCTTCACCAACAGATCCACCCGGACAGAAGTTGATCAGAGAGCCTCCAGACGCCAGGCCCCTCCTCCCTCCATCGACGTTTCTGCTACCTACGCAGGCTCCTCGTCCTCGAGCTCCGCAGTCGATCAACAAAACACCGAGTCCACGCCCACTCCACCCCAGTATCCGCTGGCGTCCTCCGCCGAGCGACCTGCGTTCCCTGCCCACCGTCACCATCATCATCACCACCACCATCATTATCGTGCCGCCGAGGCTCGCCATGCCGTTGCATCTCCTTCTCGTCAGGTCGTTCAGCCGTTGGCACCCGCCGTGCCTGCCACTGAAACTATGGAGGGCTTTGTCAGACCTGTGCGCGATGCTGACCGCCTTGCGTCGATGATGACTTTTGGCAACGCAAATTTGGTCTCGCAACCGTCTTCCCCCACAACTCCCCTGCCGCCTCCGCAGATGCGCTCTCCCACCGTCCGACCTACCTCGGGACTTGCACCAACAAATCGCTCCCGTCGTCGTCCTTCCATTCGTCACCAAAACTCCACCGTCGACTCGGATGACTTGGTTGGAGATGACGCGCCATCTGATGAGTCTCCCGATGCTGAAATGTCGGGCACTGGCACTGAGATTCAGTCTGCCGTTAATATCCAAGATATCACCATGGAAGAGGGAGACAGCATCCTAGCTGGTTCTACCACAATGGACCTGAACACCCCGACTGTGTCAGAAACTCAGGATACTGGAGCCTTCAACATCACACACCGCGGCCCTGTGGAAACTAGCAACACAGCTGCTACGACGCCAGCCCCTGTGCCTGCCATCGGCTTGTCACCGAACCGTCCCACTATGGTTACACCTCCTCAGCCGGCCATTCCCAACGCAAGCGTTCCCCGCTATCTCCTTGACCGACAATTTGTACCCAACGCCCAGATGCTTGCCGCAATGCCGCGTGAAGAAGACGTCTTGATGTCCCTTCAGTTGCTTGCATACGTCTCCAAGTATTGTGGCTTGCGGTCGTATTTCCAAAAGAGCCACTTGGTCCCAAGGCTCAAGATTGGAAAGGAACTCCGCTACTTGGACGGCGAGGACGCTTCCAAAGAGCAGATTGAAGAGGAAGAGCTGGAGGAGGAGTTTTTGTTGCCCAACGACTTCAACATTTTCCCTTTGGTCGAGAAGTTCACAGTCCGACATCACAGCACAGATATGCAATACTGGGCTGGCGTCGTCATGAGAAATCTGTGCCGCAAGGACGATACCCGCGGAGGCATCCGTCAGTGTGCGTATTACCAGTGCGGCAAGTGGGAAGAGTTTACCCGCCAATTCGCCAAGTGTCGCCGCTGCCGCCGCACCAAGTACTGCAGCAAGGAGTGTCAAAAGAGTGCATGGGCTTTCCATCGCCACTGGTGCGTGGCCGCGACGCAGTGATCCATGCCACTCAGTGCTCCACAACGTTCGACTATACCCCGGAAAGCGCCTTCGGAGGCGCGATGTTTATAATACGGATTCTTTGCCGCCCACAGGTGGCACAGCATTGCACAGCACAGCGTTTTTTCTAAATGCATGGCGTTTCCCTCGATACCACTGGTCTTTCAGCAGCATATTCAGGTCCGGCATTGGGTGCTTGCCATTCATGGTGACGGCATGGCTCCCCTTATTCCAGGACGATATATCCTCAGTTTTTCCTCAGCCTCACATGCCCTCCACGAAACGGACTGCCCAAGTCCTCGGCAAGGCACTATTCCCTCGACTATATCTATACTTTCACCACGGTGGTCGATATTGACGGGCTTCAATCTGCCAGTGTCGACCGTTTTCCAGCAACGATCAGCACGGAACAGCAGATGACCACTCGGGAAGATTTGGACGGTAGCACACGCATCTGACAAATCGTCGAAGGCGGCATACGCAACATTCAAAACTACCAAGATTGTGTCCCGCTGGACTCTCAATGCGGCATGGAGACGGTCTTAATGTCACGGATTTACATTTTCTTGGTCTTGGGCTGATGGGCTGGCGAAGCCCGCAACGGAAGGATGGAGATGATGGTTACATTGGCGGCTCACTTGGATTGAGAGAATGCATAGGCCGCCCAAGATGGATGGCAGGATAGTATCCTCCAGGCTCCTTTTCCCAATTCCTTTGAAGTAGGATAGCACGAGCAGACGGGAAAGCTTTGCGCAATGCTCCAGGAGTACATATTCCGAGTAGCAAGCGAGGATGATGTACGTATTGTTATGAGAGATCAACTACTATAATGTCAGAATTTATGCGGTCTTTCGAACCTTCTACCCGTATCGTCGTTGTGCACAAACATGCTAATGGGATGTGGTGATGACGTGTAATGCCACGCCTCTTGCGACGAGAAGTTGATTCAAAGCCGTCAGGGCTGAACTCTCGGCCTGTTTGGCGCGCTTGCTAGAAAGTTTATCGCGTACCGTCCACATGGAATTGGGACGAAGTTAATTTGAACTTTTTTGGGATATCTTTGCCACAATATATGCTGACCAGTGGGTCAGTGAGGGATTCGAGGCTTTTTGGGATACAACACGAGAAGACAAGGAAATGACATTTGATGCCTACGTTCAGTATGAAAGGTCACTAAAAAGCAGTTGAATCATATCATTTGTGGATTACCATCGAACCCGAGGGGTATTTGCTCCTCCGTTCTAGTTTTTTGTTTACAGACTCTCCTCCTTCCATTCCCCCCTCCAACCCCTGACTTTTTACGCTACAGAAAACAGCAATCTCCTTTTCTTTTTTCCCCGTTACTTATTCATGGCCTTTCTCCTGTTCTTGCCCGGCCGCTGCTGGGGCTTCTTGCCGATGCCGCCCTTCATGCGCTTGGCGTTGAACCCGCTCAAGTCGCCGGAGCTCACGGCATCGCCCGACTTTGCGTGGCGCTTCTTTCCGCCGAAGCCGTACTTTTCGTTCTTCTTGGACCGCTTGGCGTTGACGCCGCTGCCGGATCGGCCGCCGTCGCGACCGCCGCGCTTGCCGTCCGAGTTGGTGTGACTCTTGATCTCGTTGTCGACGCCGACGTCGAAGAGGTCGGCCTCGCGCGTGTCGAGGTTGGAAGAGTTTTCTTGACGTTCTGGGTTGGGGATAGTTAGTGACCGGTTCGGACTGAAACGAGTACTGAAGCACGCAGCTAGCAGCTTTAGGGAGGGAGGTGTAACTTACTCCTCTTGAGCGTCTTGATCTTTTCGAGTGTATCCTTCTTGGCCTTTTGGCGCTCCTGCAACTTGGCGACCTGCACCTGCTTGCCAAACTTCTTGAGGTCTCTGAGCTTTCTCGCCTCGGCGGCAGCCTTCTTGGAGCTGGCCTCCTCGATAAGCTTGGCCTTGACCTTATCCATCTGTCCGTCGTCCTTGACCATCTCCGCAAAGTAGTCCTTAGGGCGGGAGAATGGAGTGCCCTCCTTAATCAGGAGCGCGCGGCCCTTGCGCGCGGCCTCGAGGGACTGTGAGAGCAGGGCGAGCTCGCGCTGGAGGTCGTCCTGGGCATCGGGGACGGCCTCGGCGGTTGGTTTGGATGAAGCGACGGTCATGTGCGATGTGAAGGAGGCTGTGGAGGATGTGTCGATTCGAATGCGGTTCAGGGAGGCCAGGAGGGCGGCCTTGTTGTTGATTGTGAGCTTGGTGTGGGGGATGATGTCCTCGAGATCCTCGTCGTCGCCTTCGAGATCCGACATGGGAACGTCGTCCTCTTCGGGGTCAACCTCTGAGTCCTCCTCGTCATCTGATTCGCCGTCCTTCTCCTCGATTTCTGTGGGTGTCTTGGTGGCTGTCTTGGCCTTCTTGGATGGACGCTCGATCTTTGCTTCCATCTCGATATCGGAGTCGCTGTCACTATCTGTGTCGTCCAATGCTTCGATATCGAGCTGGAGAACTCCTGTCAGCAACCATTCTAGGGTCCCGGGGTTTTCGCGGTGTGCAAGGAGCACGAACCTTGTCATCCTCTTCTTCGTCGTCGTCCTCGTCGTCCTCCTCTTCTTCCGAGTCGGCATCCTCAAAGTCTGCGTTCAAGGTGATGCCACCCTCAATGGAGATGACAGAGGCATCGTCTCCTCCCTCATCGTCTTCCATCTCGTCGTCCTCGTCATCCTCTTCGACGCTCTTGTTCTTCTTGTTCTTCTTCTCTTGCTCCTTGGCGGCTTCGCGGTGCTTCGCCTTGATCTTGCGCTCTTCCTTGACCTTCCGCAGGTCGATGCCCTTCTCGGCCGCTAGCGCAAGCTTGAGTTTGGATTTGGTAACCATGACTGCAGAAAATATCTGAAGTGCACTGATATTGGATTGGTCGCAAAAGTATGCTGGATCAACACTCTTTACGGTCGGGTTGCGGTAACGTGGGGAGGGTCCTCAGAAAAAATGTCGATTGAAAATAATTCTGCCGCTTTGGTGACCCACTCAGTCGAGGCGGTCAAGCATCATAGTGGGGTTGGTACTCCATAGTGGGTATGGCCCCCCGACTTGGTAAGCAGCCATTGGTTAACCATTTTTTACTTGTCTTCAATATTGTCTTGAGATCATTCTCATTGCAATGATTCACAACGAAACAAGACGCGGATGAAGATGATCTTCGCAAGTCTGCCTCCAATTCAACTCTCTTGAACACATACATCTGCATATATTATTAAAACCTAGCCATCATTCTCTGTCCAAACGAAGGAATACACTCAAAAACTCGGACGGTCGGACATTCCATAATGGAAGTGTTAACTATCATTGTGTGGTATATGAGCTATACTGTATCGTCAACCAGACACATACGACCATACCCATTGGAAAACTCGAGATCCCGTCCGCTCTCCCATAGATAAGCCAATGAGGGCCGGATTAGTAGTTGGGTCGGTGACGACCAGCGAATATCTGGTGTTGTATGTTTTTGAATTCCTTTTTGGGTAAATGTGTCTATTCCATTGTCGTCGGCAGACAGGGTGTTGGTTTTTGTAGTTGTGCTCATGGCTACCAGAAAGAACGGATTTCATTATCTACATCCTCGATCTAGAACACGAATTCCCCACTTGCTTTTAGACACTAGGCGCAGCTTCGACAGGGAAAGGCTACTACTAATTGAAGAGAGGAGCACTGTCTAGGAAATGCCCGGAAATATAGATTCTACTAATGCAGAATCAAATGCTCTGTACTTGCGCCATATGGGCTTTGTGACCATTATCCTCTACCTGATCCACGCATGGCTATGAAAAATACAACACCTTGTTGCCTGAAACTGTTGAAAAGACTATACTTCAGGGCCAACAGAAACTACCGGACATGTCCACGGCCGTTCTGACGGGGACCTAGGCTTGAGTGCTTTGTTAAAGTTGTACGTGGGCAGTCAAGAACGAAGACTGGATTGTGGTATGGTGAAGTGGTACGGTGAAGAGGGATGAAGCCCGGGATATCCACAACGGGGCGCTCTCGTTGCGGTCTATCTAATTACATGGCTCATTTGTTCAAAGCCACCCCATCGTTGCCAGACTGGCCTAGCTCTATGGCCTCCGTCTTCGTTGAGTAGTCGAGGGAATTTGGTCGCTGCCGTTGGTGCCAGAACTGGGTTTGACATCGGTCTTGCAAGTGTTGGTAGGGGTTTCCATCACAGCTGCTTTGGCGCTTGGTGTTGAAGTCAGGTTCTGTCTTGACTTGGTATCGACAGCGTAAAATAGTATATCCGGGTCTGTTTCTTTGATAGAGGACGATCGACGTAGGCCTTGGTCTGTATTGTAGCGATGGACAAACGCATCATAGTCTCGAGGTATTTCAGTTGCTTTTTATATCAGCGGTTCCTCTCGTCTGCGGCACCAGAGCTGTTCAAGTCCGCAGTGGCCGCGTTGAATAGTGTGCTGCAGCTGCGATGTTCCTACGCAGCGCCTAGTTTCCACAATGACGAGCAGATGACTTGCCCGAGACGTAATTGATGACTACGAGTCAAGCACAAGAGCCGAACAACTATTGCAAGAACTTGGACTCTTTGACTAGGAAACCGGCAACACCCATGAAAGTTCACTATTGTCAACGTCACAACATTGCAAACAAATGGAGGCTAGCCTTCATACACTTCACCGCAACGGCGAGCAGGGAAACTTCGCCTCATTTGCTAGATCACCAGCCTGTACTCTTCGAGTCCTGCAGCACCTTTGATATGCCCGAGACAGCGATATTATACGGCATACAGGAGGGGCCTGGGGCTTGGCAATATCTTCGGACAGACGTACAAGCCAGGTGTAGGGGACCGACAAAGCATGCTTCCAGCGCAATCAAGGTAAACTGTGCGAGACTCCTCCGGACGGAAATGGCACTGAGTGACAGTTTGAGAGACAAAGGGCCAACCGGAGGGGGGGGGGGGGGGCGAATAGGGGAGTATGGAAGAGAGACGATCTTGAATACTTGTACCCGCACAAGTTCTTTGACTAGGAAACACTTGGCTTTCATTCCTTGAGCAGCTGAAACTGAACAAATTCCTTTCATGCCGAATATGTTACTCTACCAAAGACAGCAGCTTTCTGAGGTGTCGATCGTTCGATGTTTAGACTGCGGTCATTGACCCTTGCGGGATATGTTTCGATTACGAGTACTCGCCCAGTGGCTAACTATGGCTTCTTTTGATCCAATCATGTGATCAAAGAAGGGCAATTCAACGATTATGCGGCCGTCGATGCTCTATAACCCAATCAAGGTCCGCAACCTGCTATCAAGCTTGTATTATCTCCCCACTACGAGTCTTGGTCTCTCATTAGATCTGATATTGTGTAGCAGGCCAACAACCGTGGGCGAAGGTATGCTACATCGAACGAAGCTCGAGGTAACACAGTCGTGTGTCTGTGGATTGACCACCTTGGGGGATCGAATGACTGCCACCTTCTTTCATATACATTGCCACCAAGCCGAAACTCCTCGCTTCCAAACTAGCCTCGGGCGACAAACGTGATGAAAGCTGATCTATCCTCATTGCTCATTTCACATGACGCTTCTGTTTGCTGTATCCAATGACTTCATGGCTCCCCCTAGAACCGAGTGAAGGGAAGCCTAATCATTAAGGTCAGTTTCACGTTCATAGCCATGGAGCATCAAGTATAAGAAGCGAGCAAATTGTACGTACCATTTGCCCTTGAGGGTGATGACAACCCACGGGCTCCCAGCCTCATCGATCTCCTTTTCGACCTTTGTGTTGAAGCAAATCGCACTCATGATGCCGTCGCCAAACTTCTCGTTCATGACAGCCTTGTAGGCGTACCCGTAGTTTTGCACAATCTCGTACAGGCGGTAGATGAGCGGCTCGACAGGCGGCATGGGCCCGGCTCGGCCGCGGTCGGGGTAGTTGTTCAGCTGCTTCAGGTTCGCGGCCTGGATTCCGAGGAGCTCAGACAGCTTCTGGACGTCCTCTTCCGAGGCCTGTACCTGACCATAGAAGATGCCCGCAATGGCAACTTCGCTGCGGCCGAGATGCTTGGCGATTTCCTCAAACGTAAGCCCAGCTGACGCCTTCGCGTCAAAGAGGACCTGGGAATGAGGCGGCAGACGATCCGCCATGGAGGGCTAGTTGGTTCTTAATTAGTGATCGTGGAGCTTCGTGGCCGTTGTAGTTTAATATTCCCATTTGACCCTGTTACTCACATCGAGACTTGCGAGCTGTCCAGACATTGTGAAAGACAGGCTGAAGTGTTGATAGTGGAATTATGTGTGATGAAAACAATGCCAAGGATAGGGTTCGGAAGAGAGTTCGTCTAATCGAGATACGATGAGCTGAGATGAGATGAGATAAGGGAAGATATCGAATTTGAGTCCTTGTATGTGCAACTATGTATGATTGAATCAAAGGGGGAAATGTCGACGAACACCAGCCTTAAATCTTCAAGACGTGGTATTGCGGGCGGGTATTTCATCCGGACGTCATGCATTCAGATCGTCCATGGATATTGCGGGGTCGTGAGCTAAGAGAACCATCAGTCTAAGATGCGTCGTCCTGTTCGCCGTTGCCGAGGCCTCCCCGCCGGAGAAAACACGGTATTTCGGCTTCAAAGGCAAAAACCGATGCACCACAAATCGCCTGCAAATCCCGACCAGATATGATGACTAATAGTCCTTGTATTCTAGTAACTTTTATCTACTTAACCAAGGTATTTGGGCAAAGCCCGTTCCGGCACACACGGCGGTGGCCGGGAGGAAGATTGCGAAGCCATCGCACCCGAGTCTTGGCACGGATCGGAATCGGTCAGCTCAGCGGTTATCGCCCGAACCGCTCTGTAAACGGCGTTGACTGCAATGCAACTTGCGCCAACCCATTCATTGTACGTATGTTGCTACTCCATCAACGTCCCGCATGTTCCTTTTCTCCGTGTACAATAACTTTGCCACGTAAACACCTTCTAGTAATGGGCACGTCCGAAAATTTTCTAAGTGTACTATTTGGTGTAGACAAGGCGACTCCAAGTAGCCGTATGTGAAGGACGTTCTCGGAGAAGTCGTCCTACCCGAGAAAGGAGTTAATCTGACAACGTTGTACATCGATTTTGGGTAGTTTTGTGCGATGGCCCATGGCCGGCCTTGAATAGGAGATCGGTAGTGGTTGTGGTGTTTATATCGTATTCTCCCAGCATCGAGTGTCTCAGCTCCCGAGAAGCGACACGCCAATATGAGCAGGGAGAGTGCTCCCGCCAACATTCCAGATATTGTCGACCGGCAAGCGTGGCTCTGACTCCGAAGAGGGGGGTGTGCCTCTGGAGGAGCTCACGCTGTTATGCGTTGTCATAATTGGTAGCGGTTTGATGATTTGGTTCTGTGTACACCATTGTGCACAAGCCCTACCCGGTTAGGCTGGTATCGTGGAGTTGCCGGTTAGCCGTTTCCACCCCTTGAGATCCCACTCTCTCCTGGCGCCTTTCAGATCGTCCACATTTAGGATATCAACGCCCTCTTGAACAAGCACATCCCATACGTGGTTTCTGATACTGATTGGCCATGCTGGGAGATCCCAGTACCGGACCATTAAGCCGCGAGAATGGGCTTCTTTGATTTGCGCTCTCAGTTTCCCCATTTGGCCCTTTGATAGGTCACCAAACCAAACGGTGCCGAGCGCCTTCTTGAACGATACGCTCGTGTAGAAGGAGTTGGTAAGATCGAAGTTGTGACGGTCTAGGTTCAGGAGGGGAGCGTCGAAGAACGTGTCCCTGTAGGTCGTGTTTTCGACGACCATACCGAAAGGAGTGTTGCCTGTCCCGACGACGGTGATGGGCCCATAGTGGACTTTGCCATCGATGACTTTGCTCAGCCAGCCTCGCTCTCGCAAGGGCTCCAACTGACGGACCACCTCCGGCCACGTCTCCGGGCCGCTCGTCTTCAAATCCACCAAGAGAACCATGGTTTGATCCGGGCTTGCCTCATAAATGCCCCGAGGCGATTCCTGTGTGATGTTTCCGAGGTCCGCGTTCCGTTCCTCAAGCAGACGAACGAGGGGGTCTATGTAGAGACTCGTGAAGGTGTTCTTCTGACGCAGAGACCACTTGTTGTGGCCAACGAATAACTCGGTGTCCATGAGCCACACGTCTGCCTCAATGCCAATGCATCCTGCCTGGAGAGCGTCATAGATGGGTCTTTTTCTCCAGTAGTCATTATGAGAGTGGCATGGAATCGGCTCAACGATGCTCGCGCTTTCAAACTGCCCGGATGCCGTATCCCAGACCTCGCGGGCTACGAATAGTACCAGGTTCAGAAGGACAAATATCAAGCTAAGATCCAAAGTTAGCCGGGAAATCAAATATTGCGCCGTTCGCAACACTTACAGCATGGCTAACCAAACAGCGCCGCACATGATGAAGGAACGTTTCCGTGTCCATGGTTTCGGTATCATGTAGGCAGGAGGGAGTAATCCATCTTCGGAAGTAAAACTCTCAGCTGGTGTTGGCGGGACTTCGATTCCGCCTTCACTTGCGGTGTCTGCTTCCTCGGGAGAGTCTCTGTAGCGAGGTATCGTGTTGCTGTTTCGGGACCAAAATTGACGGAAGCGATCACGCACGGCGTCGATGCTGGCGCTCTTTGTAGTAGACATTCTCGAATAGGTCTGATATTCCAGCTAATATGATCGGACAATGGGTCGGAGACAGAGGCGCCTGATCAGAGAGAAGGCAAGAAGAAGAGGCCGTCGGATGGTTGCTCTTTATCTCTAGAGCATATCGTGGTAAAGTACGAGGGTTCGTAGACTGTAAGTCTGGGCTGCGGCAGTGCTATTGTACGGCAAGCCGTTTCCAAGTCCGTCAGGCAGGCTGTGCGGCACTTCGAGGTAGGAGGCCAGATAAGTATGTAGTATGAGGTACTGGCAGTGGTGGAAGGGAGGTGCACAAAGAGAAAACCAACAAAGGCAAGGGCGAATAAGTCTAGATGTTTGCGGACGAGGCAAAGAGTGAAGAACTGCGGGAGAGAGACACCAAATATAGCGGGATCTGTGAAAGTGGTTGTTGGCTTGGCTTGCTGCCTGCTTTAAGAGGGGGACACTGGAGCTAAAGATCACCGCAAGGTGAAGGTAGGTAATAAGGTCGGGTACCTCAGGGCGAGGTAGGGACAGGGCGAAATGGGGTAGGGATATAAAGGTTAAAACGGCAAGTAGATCCGAGCATGGTTAGGGATGGATGCTGGGGTAGGGACGGCGGTTGAGAACAGACTTTGGGAAGAGCTGAGAGGGTCTGAGAGCAAGATGAAGAGACAGCGAGGCACGTTGGAAAGTCGGAGGAACGGGGGCTAGGGGAAGGAGGAGAATGAGAGAGAGTCAGTGAGCTGAATGAGGGCGTGAGTGAGCGACAGAGAGCAAACGGACAAGACGCTGTGCTGTGAATGGGACACGGGTCTAGTGTCTAGCATATGGTTCCAGAAGATGTGATGTCTCCAGTTGTGTAGTGGCATCTACGGCGGCAGCAGCAACAATGCAGCAGTAGCGATACATGGATTCCATGCTAGACACTACAAGCTAAGGTACTTGGTTGGGGAGAAGGGGGACTAATGCTAGTCAGTGGGCGGCGTATTCAAGCATTTCCAAGTCATCCATGTCCTGTCCTGTTCCACGTCCGTAAAAGGGACTAAGACTAAGAAAGTCTATCAGGAGCTTAGCTAGCCCCAAGACGGTGGGGGGCGCGGGACCCGAGGGAGTGTTTCTGGCGCCTGTTTTGTTTGTGTTTGTTACCCTGGCGAAGGGGGGTGTTGGTTCAGGCCCAGGATCAATCAGTGTAACGAAGAATAAATGTGATTATGGGCTTCAGGGACAACGGTATCTGAATGTGTGGATCGTCTTGGCCAGGCAGCAGAGATATGTATCGTGTCATGGCGGTGGTTGTATGCACGGTCAGAGGCCACGAAACAAGGATAGTCATTCATTGTGTCCACGACGAGTGACGACGACAACGACGACAGTCATGCCATGGAGAATAGACAGGGCAAGAAAGTGAGGCCAAGAAAAAAGGAAGAGAGAGAGAGAGAGAGAGACAGAGAGAGGGTGTGTGTGTGTGTGAGACTATTCTCAGGTCTGGGGTCAAGTGTCGAACGTCAACCATGGAAGTAGCGCGTCGAGGTAGCGCATGGGCGATGACTCTGTGACCAGTGGAAAGGCGCACCAAGGTCCCATTGTCGTTAGCCGCAAAACAAGAGGCCAACAACTAAGGTTATTCGGCATGCCTCTCTCAAACCAAACCTGTCGTGTCGGAATGCCTCAGTCGAATGGCGAAAGAGAGTCGACGAGGGTCTGGCCGACGGGGAAATCCCTGCACTCTGGCGTTCCCGAGGTCCAGGTACCTCGTAGTTGCTTCCGGCCCCCTCCTGGAGTCAGGTACTTTGACCAGACCCTGAGACCCCTCATCCCAGCCGCTTTCCTCGACACTTCTTGCCTCTGCGGGTGAGGCACAAGGGAAACATGAGGTGCCAAGGAAAAGTCAGTGCGGAAAGTTCAGAGAGTATCGAGGATGAAAAGAAAAAGAACGAGGTACACTACTTGGAGATTGGTTGGAGACTGGTTGGAGGCTTGGCACGGGAGACAGCTACGGTCCTACAGCTGAAAGGAACGAAAAAAGAATTTGGGAAAGAGAGCGAAGGAGTACCGGCCATGGATCTCCAATCCAGTCCAGCAGCTGCGCCTTCTGCTACCAGTACGGACATCTCAGTGGTCAATGACCGTCGTGCAAAGCTGCCCGCTGTGGCCACCGATGGACACAAGGTACCTTGGGTTAGGTCCTTGGTGGAGCGCCTAAGCATCCAAGGCACTTCATGAACCATTTTCATACGGTGCATACGAAGTATCTTGTACCTACCGATAGGCGGCGTAGATACTTGCCTCCGTGGAGAAGTCATGTTCCCCGCCGTGGAATCTCCCCGCAGATGGATACCTACATTGAAGTTTGAACCCAGTCGAGCAAGTCGCAGGAACACCGCACGCCGCACCTCGCGAGAGTAAGACTGGACGGACTTTCGCTTCCTCAACTCTGAGATGGTCCGTGCTAAGCCAGTACCGGCTTTGAGACGGCGTGCTCCATGTTCTGGGCTCTCGAATCCCTCTCTCCCAATCATGCCAACATCCCTCCTTCTCGTTTTTTCTTTCTGCCTCTCATCTGGTATGCTGCCTCTACCTACACAATACTCAATACGTAGGTACCTTGCTACTCCTCTTCTCGCGCCTTTGCCTTACAGGCCATACTCTTTCAAGCATGTGGCGCAGCTCATAGGCGGATTAACTTCCATTCAAGCGACCATGAGAAACCAGCTAGTAACATTAAATCCCTCTCGCACTCCCGGCCTTGATGGTGTACTATCTATGTCACGCGCATCATTCATACCTTAATATGCTTAGATAGAGCACCAGCCCCCAGTGCCGTTTCCGAGAGGGTTCCTACCTATGTGCGGTCTGAGGAGTCCGCGCTCGTCCTAGACTGGACCAGACTGCACGAGGTAACTACCTTAGGTATCCCCACAAAATCATGGCCCTCCACCAGGTTCAAGGCCAGCCTAGAACGACCTATTACAAATGCCCTCGTTTCCTCGTGGACCACCTTGGTTCATGGCATCCCGCCGACTTGCCAGCCAGCTTACATGTGGATTCAACTCCAAGGCAGGGCAGCGTGGCGCCCGGGAAGCTTCTTGCGTGCTTGTTTGTGTACGGATAAGAACTTCGGCCGCCGCACTTTGAGCCGAAGGCGAGGCGTTTTGACCAAGTCTAGCTGCGATCTGTCAATACTCCGTTCCGTATCTCAGCCACACCAAAATAGATACACGCTCGTGTCAGCCATGCGCCCATCGCGGCATCGCCCCAGAGCGTGACTGATCGGGACATTTCCATGGGTCGCGCGGACGGCGGCACGTCCGAGCCTCCGTTTCCCGCCCAAAACCAGAAACAACAGCCATCCATCCATCAGCCATGGCCATGCTTGCACGAAGTGTTTCTGACTTGACCGTGATTATGGGCTGACTGACTGACTGACTGACTGATGAACACCCACCGACTGATGCCGACATCAAGCCGGGAAAAAGTATGGAAAAAAAAAGGCATTTGGTAAAAAGCTCAGCGCAATCGTCTACGTACGCAACTCATCAGCCGTCGATACTGAGACACGTCCGAAAACGACTGGAAGTGTCACATAATCAGACGGCCAGTAATTGAGTTTGTTCTCCTCACTCAACCACACCTCGACATCTCCGACACGCGAAACACGCCTTTCTCCGAGTCTGAAGTCTGAAGTCTGAAGTCTGAAGTCTGAAGTCTGAATCCTAGAGTCCGTCGGGCTTGCTCTGTGGGACGGACTCGGGTGCAAATACCTCACCTCGTTCCCCTACAGTTGCTTTCGCCAACCGGGGACGTAGCAGTTGTGCCAGCCACCTTGCAATTACCGCCTCATGTTGATCTGGTCTCTGGCATAGCACGTCTTCGCCCCCTTCCGCTACCATTTGCCTGGTCATGGCGGCGCCTCCGTCACCGCTGCACTTCTCCGTCAACATGAGGCGCTCATCACTGTGGCATCATCCATCGAGACGGCAATGAAGGAGGAACACTGTCCATGCATGCCCATGCGTGCGACAAGCCTGGTTCTCATCAAAAGGGATGTTCTAGTACACTTCCCATAAGAAGCGTACTCCATTGACAAACACGATCATCTCACTGGAGAAAACAAGCTCTGGATTCCAACGTGCTTCGGCCTAGATGGCGGCTCCAGGTCCCACCATCCTTCTGAGTCGCTTATCTGGTAGGTATATTCGGTGAGCTCCGCACCACATTTTCTCCGTGGGTAAGGTGATCGATTGTATTGGCAGAGGCTTTGCACTGTTGGTTGTTTGAGTCTCCCGAGAATGACTTGACAGCCACTTGCTTGGCAGGGAAAAAAATCAATTTACAGATGATCAGCGAAGCATGCAGGGCGGGTACCTCAACCTCGAGCAAAGTTTTTGTACCTATGACCAGGTGAAGCCAGCCCATGTGCTGCAGAACTGTCATTGATCAGGTGCCAAGATGCCAGATTGTGGGATTCCCGCGTGTGATCTGTCCAAGGTGGACCGGCCCTAGGGGCTTTCCGACGTGGAGACCCCTGCAGCTGCAGCACGGTACGTTCCTCCATTGCCACGACAGGGCGTTGGTTTCATGAGGTGGAGCGGGGGTTACCCCCAAAGAATGTGCCTCACTTCTTATCAGACGACCACTTGTTATCGTCGCTGACATAATACAAAATTTTCCATCACTCCCGTCCCTGAGTCGCGAATCATCCCGCCTCACCTGCAATTACGAAACCTTGAAGTAGAGGGGAACGTGTTTCTGTACTGAATCGCTCAACAAGTCATCCATTCAAGTCAGTCGCAATGCCTCACAAACATACCAGGAGGGAACAGGATCCCTCAGCGTAAGTTTCAACCGCCTGAGATGCCGTTGTGGCATGCACTAACCGGCTTCATGCAGATTTGATCTCCCCCCATCACAAATCGCGAGGCCGCTTCCCGTTCAGCTGCGAAGTCGAAAAGCTTTAGCCAATAATGCGAAAAACACCAAGAACGGCAAGAATGGCAAAATCCAAAAGACAGAGAATGATG